ATGTCAGAAGTGCTGTATCATCATATTAGTATATCCTTAGTGGAATAACGAAGGTCACATGTCCAGCAACGTGCCATGCACCTATCAGAGCTACATCATATCAATTCTAAATATTATTGTGACCTTAAATATGCATATCAGTTACATAATCAACGAACTATAACGATGATAACGTCTAATATATGCAATGCATGATTCAGTTAAGATGATGAAAATCGGCTAAAGAAGATCTGTCTCATTTCATATGTGTCACCTATTTTGATAAAAAGCATTTCCTGAATAAGAACTCGTTTATTAAGGGTATGCGATGCCTAGTGTCACCCCTGTGTTCGAGTGTGGTACTTTAAGATACACGTCGCCATTGACAGAAGCATTTCTCACATAAATGACACTTAAACAGCACGAAAACACGATAACAGTATTGTTCCCAGGTTCTGCAGTTGGTAATGGTCCCCAGAAATATTAGTTTAAAATGCTTATGGCCTTTTATTTTTTTTACTTTTTATGGATCCCTACACTATTACTTTTGCGCGTGTTTGAGCATTGGTCCATTCACAACGACCAATAAATATAATACCTTTGTCTATTGGTTCAAACGTTGTGTGTATATCTAATCTACCTTTGTTCAGGTAGGCACCTTTCGTGATGAGGTCTGTAAACAGAGGTAAAACCTTCTCGGCATACCTTTCTCCATTATCTCAAAGACGAATTTTTTTCAACATGATATTATGTTAGAAATGGCATTTTCTAAGCAGCTTTATCGCTCAATCTTTAAAACCCACGTTTGTTTCATCCTATGGTCGCAAAGAGCAGCGAAATACCTTCCGTTGATGTTAACCGAACATTTCACATAGTTGCGGTAAAATAAACAACTCCGTTTCGTCACTTCAAAAGAATTTCCATCCATATAGATGCATAATAATCCCTAATTGCCAAGATATAATCGTTCATTTTGTTATTTACCACATAGTAATTTTAACGTCATTAGTAGCAGAAGGGGCCTTCTAATGATAGACGTCATTTGTTTAACATGTACCATAAACAATACTAGCTCTATCGTGTTCTTAGTTACTTAAGTAAGATGTAGATATGTATTTGTATATGTCATGTGACGATTTGCCTTCGCCAACTTGGGTTTGGTGCAAGTGTATATAAGATTGAATCATTTGAACTTTGGCCATCGAGTTGCCGTAAACGTCTGTAGTTTTTCATCCTATGATTCAATATCAAGAACTCTCATGGGTTGATATTTGTGATTTTGATAAAAGATATAGCCCTGTCATAGTTGTTCAACCTTCCAGAATTACACATAAATGATAAAATCCACACCATGGTTATAGCGTTCATCGTTATTTCAACGGAATTCGTTCGAATCGGAATTAAACCCCAGATATTTTCCATGTAAAATGTCTTTATATGAAAAAATACTAAGAAAAAGGCAATTGGTGTTTCAAAAACAAATGGACAGATTACATGGTTTTAAGTTACAATTAGTCGCAAAAGCAATTCCCGGTCGTCGAAACAACCCATAGGCCCACCTCAGACCCAGAACACAAGTGACCGCCCTTTCATTCATGAAATATAAATGTTAATTATTCTCTTGAATATTGGGACTCCAAATTAGCAATAAACAACCATTGAATGCAGCAGGAACAAACACAATAATGTGTTGTTAAAGAATATGTTATGATGTTTGGGAATATCTAATACTTGCAAACAATAATCCTTTCCTTTGCTGTGAAAGCTGAATGTCACTGTAACTTGTAATGTAGCCATATGATTCAAACTTCTACAACTAATACATAATAGTGTAAATGCAATGTAACGCATTAGGAATGTAATCGCGATCTAGAAGTGCTAAATTGAACACATGATACTGGACTGGGATGATATATCAAAACATTGATCTTTCCACATTAATGTTTGATATGTGGAAGCATCGATTTAACGAAATAATTGTAGAAACTACATCAAATGCGAATCTTCTTTACATTTAAGAACACAATGGTGTACACGTCTTTCCAACAGCTATGAAATATGAAGCATTTCTGTGTGTAATTCTGATCTGATTTGATCGTTTTCATAATGACAATAGAAAGATGTTTCTAACAACGCCTATGATAATTTGCACAATTTCTTTACTCCCAGTGCAAATCTACACCGTTCTCATTTAAATGATTACTTTGAGAAATCTGATGGACAAACTCGGGACTTCTTGTTGGAATATAATATACCATGGTCTCATTTCGCACACTGTTAACAAGCGTATTAAATTTCTTGTATATGGTGTTACTTTTCTAATTTACAATGTCCGTGGAAAATTGTAAATATAAACTGAAAATGAAAGTTTGTCAACTACTGTTTATTGTTTTGATTTTGTGGCATCCAATGAATGTATTTTAGAACATCGGAATCTTGGCATGTGCGAAGTATATCATTTCATCATACTCTCGGAATAGGTGTTGAATCTCTTCTAAAACTGGCACTATACAATACAGAAACAACGTTGTAACTGCCTTCGAGCACGCTACCTAAATCGTAAAACTCGAAGTTAGAACAATAGCATGAACTACTTAAACAGTGGGTACAACAATCCCAGCAACAAGAAATGAATCATCTCAGGAGTCATACTGACTATCAGATATGTTGCATAGGTAAGCGTTGGAGGAATTTGATTTTCTTCAGAGGAGAATAAAATGAATACTATGAAATTGGAACTTTTGGTATAAAATCAAATGAGGGTTTAGCTCCCATTTCTTGGATCAGATGCTTTAACGCCATAAAAGTGTAATAAAATACTTAAGTCTTTTCTAAGCACTGCTTTATTGCTGATGCGTCGGTATGTGTATAGCAGTGATTGAATAGAAGGTCCTACAACAAACACAGTTATGGTGGGTTTAGCATATGTATGGCAAGTTTATGTGAGCTTATATTCGATATCAGTACCATTTTCTGATTACAGTGAGAAATATAGTTTATTTCAAGTATTACGGTTATGAATATACACATTGTGTGTTCAAATTCATTTTATAAACTCAGATATCGCAGCTTGAGTCTATCATGTTATATTTTCTGGTAAATTGGAAGATTTATTTTTGGGGGTGAAAGAGGTGGTATTCGAAATACTTTTGAATTGATGTCTTGATAATTTGGACATGTATTTTATGAGCTTGTTTGATTTGTTGGTAAATGTATATATAATAGGAAATTAGGACCCTTGCACAAAAGCTTAAGAAATGATCCATCCCTATCGGTACAGTGCCAACACTAATTTATTCATGAATCCCATACAATGAAACGTGCCCCATGAGAACCCACGTCTCTGGTCGAGGTCTCGGAATACTCGTTTGATTAAAGATTCGTCTACGGTAATAAAAGACCCATTGCTAGTGTTTCTACATGGGCACTATACACAATTACCTTCATTTGCCCAATAATCGGAAATTGATAGGAATCCCCTATGGTACAAGAGCTTATAAATATACAACCTCCCCCTCAAGCTCACGCTATTTAGTCAAGGCCACGCGTACAATGAATGACCACAAAGGCAAAGTGATAGCCAACAGATTATGACAAATTGTCCCCAGTAAATGCTAATCGCCATCCGTAAGCGATCCGTGGACACGCAGTGGACATTCAGTGGACGCATAGTGTCGTCTGCTACAAATGTCGTCTGCTCTGTCGTGTGTCGTCTGCTCCGTCATGTGACAAGCCTCGCGCGTGCGGTGTTCTTGATATGATATATATACTTCGTTTCCTCTTTGAAATAGGCACAAGTCTCTCGTGCAGGCGTGCATTTGTTACATTTGTCGAATTCCTGGGTAGAGAATCTACGGTATGCTTTGCAAAAGCCGATTACCGCTTTTCAAGGATACAGCCGTATTAGCAAGGACATTTTCAGTATCCGCTAAAACTCAGCTCAAATAAATAATTGCCCTCTTGACAATGTCTGAGAGTGTATCCTAATTCTCCATCCTAATTCACAGTATATCACATGAACCGAAAGAAGATCTGACGTACCGAAAAGGTAACCAAGATATGAGTATACTGTACTTGACTCCCAACAACTGAGAACACACAAATTAAAAAAAAATGATTGAAATAGCCACACATAGTTAGCCGAATAGAATGTTATTGCAAAATCGAATATCGTGGATTGAATCATTTCTCACGCTACTCTCTTGCAATGGACACTTAAAAGGAAATTTGAAAACAGTTACTACGATAAAATGAAAACTAAACGCTGTTATGCTCAAATAAACGACAGCAGTGTCCGATGGTTGTTGAGAGAATACAACAGAAATGGCACATTTCCTTCGAATATCGTTCACAACACACAAGCAACCTTTAGTAATAAAAGGGTGTTTAAAGGGCTTGCCTTCACAAGTGAGTGCATCTTAAGAAAAGTTAAACGAGTGAGGGTAAGAGATAAATTTCTACCCTAAAATAGCGGTTGTCGCTATTATATTGCCGTTTTATGAAGGCGCGATCCTATAGCCGGGCGACGGTGAGAATACATGTAAATAATCGAAAATTAGCATGCAGATGTTTCGAATAAAATCTATAAGGCGCTGCTACATAAAATGGCTGTTGATGATCTATAAAACAATGAAATGGCCGCATTTTTCTCCGATTGGACTGCGAGTGTTCGAGGGCTAGTTTGTACGCGACGATGAGACGAATCTTTTACACACTGTCGAGAAGAATCGGTGAGCATAAACGGAGGTTATTGTCAGTGTTTATGCCGTAATGAATTTTTATGAAGTCTAGGCTGAAGTGAGGTGCGTCTCGCTTTGCAGAATTTGAACAGAGGTTACGGGAGAGGGGAGGGGCCCTTCTACTTAAGAAGGGTCCCCCTGACCCCCTCTAAGTGTAAAAGAACCCTAGGGTGGCAGTAAACTCACACCGGGTCAGCGGCAGGGACGTTAATTGGCTTGCTGTTATTTTATGTTCACACTTTACGACAGTATCTATCGCTTGGAGTAGTAAAATGTACTAACCTACGATTGACATCCAGGGATAAAATGACGGCGTCTCTCCTTCGGTCGTTCCATTCCCGGACTTTGAGCAAGGACTCAAGCTGTCTGCCCTCGGAGCGGGATTACAATTTCCCTGGGTATCACACGGGTCTCCGAATCTCATCCCTGGAACGTTCATATTTGGGTAGAACGATGCTCGGTTTGTTTGTAGACCCATTCTCAGTTCGTGATTTCGCTGTTGAAGTGCTTCCATACGACATGCTTCGGACGCATAAGATCCCATATAATATCGTGGAGCCCTGTAGTTTCCAGTGGGACATATCTCCGGGATATTAAGAAAGTGGTCCATGTACCCAGTATTTTCGCCGGCGTGGATTTCATCCCCTCTCGGGGCGCACTGGCGAATAGGCAGGTAAGAACTCATCCCTGGTCGCTCGTAGCCGGATCGTGATGTGAGGCCACTATTAAAGCTCGCTGAAACCATGAAGCAGAGTAAAATTATTTTAGTTCTAGAAAATCATTGAGATAGCTCACAGACCCGGCAACTCGTACAACAGATAAACCAGACAATTTGCATACCATCCAATCAGCGGTCGTAAATCTGACCTCCTGTGACCTTTGCACTGGTAGCTCCTTACAGCGACTCCTTCCGCTAAGAAAAAGCAGTTCGCGAGTTGCAAAGGGATTTGAGAGTGGGGCGGGCTCACTGTATCGGTTTAATCAGATAATATAAACAAAACCGGCCCATCATAAGATTTTCTGTTAACGCGACTCGGGTGATAAATATTTAGGTAAGTAGAAATGAACTCTCTCGCTCAAAGACCAGGGCACATGTATGATAAATTTCAACATCAAAAGAAAAGCCCGATCTCTGGACAAATCGCTTTGCTATTTTTCAAATTTTTACGTCGGTAACTAAAGACTGATAGCCTCCATGGCGATAGCAGGTTTTTATGTTGTGTTTGATCGCGCGTCGTCTGTAAGACTAAGCAGTGCTCCCAGCGTCATTGTGTAGTGTCGTCCTCTGCAACGTTCAGAGATTCGAGGTCCTCAGTAGTGAATTAAGGCAAGACTAATAAATCATTTCTCATTATTTTCCACATAATAGAAGGAGTCGGGCCAATGTCCCTGCTTTGTTGATGTTACCAAATATGACGAAATGACACAAAAGAATATTCCAGTCGTCGTTACGTCATAAACAAGCGGAACGTCAATTACCACGTTAATACACGAAAAATCAATAAACACAAGTTATCGACCAAAGCTTAGAAAAGGTAGAGAATATCATTAGAGTAGGGATTGTAGTTAACAAAAAATGTGCGTTAAGTTCTGAAAATGAATACAAGGAGCTGACAAAATAGAACTAAAGAATGTTTGTAATCTGATTAATTCAACCTCGTCAGATTTTGGGCTATTATTAGGGGGCAGAGAAGAAATGTTTTACACAAATAATTAAACGGGTAACAAATAATGTAGCAACAAAATACATGTATTTCGACACATGTATTCTACAAACCAACATGTCTAAAGCGAGGATGTGCCACATAAGTATGCCATTGCATACTGATACAAGATATATAAATATTCATGTCGTATCGTGGTCACACGTGCGTTTCATATGGTGTTCGGTTTGAAACAAATTCACAGTTTGTTTGGAAAATGTAAAATATAATTTATTTGACGAACAACACAAATGCCATAGTCTAATCCGAGAACCGGCAATAGTATCTTGCACCCTCTCCCAAGAGATTTCCAGTAATGCCTCACAGCTGAAAGACTTTTCTCTTTCGGTTCCATATCAAATTGGGGATCTTGTCTTTATTGAAAGGATTGAGGCGATATTTGGGCAGTATTTCCCGAAACGACCTAGTACGGACTCCGAATTGACATTTCTTCTCTAAAGTGATGAATTCGCACCATAAATAATCAGAACGAATAAACATTAAATTTATATTCTTCCCGGGTGAAACATTAAATTGTCAATTGCTAAATCCAAGCCGAGAAAGGCTTTGAATCATCAGTTTACCAGAATAAAATATTATAAAATGTTATTTGGTATAGTGTGAAATACATTATCTGTTGAAATATAGAACAGGGACCGGTTTTATCAGTCCAACTTGAAATTACTACAAAACTGATATAACTGCATTAGTCACACTAAAATTCCGTGCATCCTCCAGTTGAGTATTTCTACAACAAATAAATAACACATATAATTTGTTGATATTTACAGCTAGCATATATACACGAATAAAGATGATATAATACTTATAATACTACAGAGAGTACTTCAAGTTTTGTGAAAACTGTTCCATGTCATGAATAAGATCGCTGCATGGTTATATCAAGTGTCCAATTGTACTCCATTTGCACCATTCGTTGCAAAATTATGGGTCTACGTCTATATAAACAAACCAAATTCTACCAAATGAATTTTATCATCTACTCGCTGTCTGTTAAGACCATAAACATTTTTTTTATGCAACAGTACACTTTATAGATTGTTTTACTGTAGACACACTGCTAAATCTCTCAGTAAAGCGAAGGTAAACACAAGGAAGACAATAAAACAATACGTAATTGATGATAAATAAAATCGTCTTTTCAGATTCAATATGGGAGATAGAGATGAAGCGGTGAGGGGTTAGACTCAATCTACAGTAAACAAACAAGCTACCGGTTCACGACTATTTACGCCGAGGAGTTCCATAAACTCTAATTTTATTACTTAAGCGGGTGCTAGAACTACCCTCAACATTACTTCTTCATTTCCCTGATGGTTACAAATATCACATACAAAATGCATTTTACTACACTGCTGATTATCCGTGCTGTTTTGTGTAAATTCGACGAGGGTTGTTAAAGCCTCTTTCGCAGGCAATCGCGAAGAATATCACAAATATAAAATAGAAGTAAAGATTTTACGGCCACAATAAAGCACAAGCTTCCTACCTTGATACATGTGCCCCGTTCTTCCTCAGTCTGTACAGCGTAATGGCCTATCTGTCGTTTAACGGCCAATTTTAGTAGCCTCTTGGAGTTTAAGATCGCCGGTGATAATCCGAATGAATTTGAATAAAAATAACGCTATTTGCATGCATCTGTTTTAGGCTTCCAGTGACCGTTCTAATTTTATTTAGCACGGACAATGGACAATGCTAGACTAAAGAACGACGGATGGTGGTCACGTCTTTACGGATCTTTTTGATCCTTACAAAATTCCTCCATTAACCACGTGACGTAGTTCCCATAGATTAAATTAATTCTTTCCCATAGAACATTTGGTTTTCGTAAATCTGTCGACGAGGTTCGGACACAATTCGGCCTAAGTCTTGAGGTGCTCGACGCGGACAATTTGTAATTGGTCAATGAGGTCCCTAGCTTCCCCCAGCTGGACCCACCGGTCACTTAGTCGCTAAAGTAAACAGACAAATGCTGTCATTACTGTGAAATACACGCATATTATCGTTGTACCTTTCATTTTCTGCATAACGCCCCCTGACTTACGATAGGGGCCGGTGCGTATTTCGCTGTGTCAATTTCAACTCGGGTGATGGACTGTCATGTTAATATCAGCATGGTAGGGGTTGATTCGCTTTAATTGCTTACAGAGCGGGAAATGGGATTTTCTCTCAAAAACGTCCCTCTGTCCGTCTGGGTTTAAAAATAAACAATGGCTACCCTTTGGTCTACATTTAGACTTCAAAGGCATAAAATTGCAATATATAGGGGTTCGGGTGACGTGATGTCGTTATTGATAACAGATACTCACGAAACAGTTCACTAGAACACACACACACACCGGTTACTATATAACATTTATAACATGATCGCTCAAAATTGGATTTGTACTTTGCATTAAGGTAAGTGTTGATGCTGTCGATGTCCATCTGATGATATATCCGTTAAAGTAAATTGGTCTGAAATAAACACTTGAAATTAACATTGATCACAATTAGTATAAGTCTAAAACTTAATACATTCATATGTAGATCTACTTTACTGATGTGAAACCATTTCAAAGTTTTAAAGTATTTTAATATTTTCAATCATGATTAATCTTATTATTTGAATGGTTTATTGGTATATAAATTCGTTAATATTTACAATTTAAAATCATTTGTTTTTGGTCAATTCTGAGTTTTGTCCAGTGAACATAAAGATCATATTAGCGTAACTGTATTCTGTATGTAGATAAATCTTGTATGTTTACATGGTTTGTTTAACGAAAGGAATCTGGGTATCTGTAATGAAGTTTAACCAAAATTAAATAAATTAAACCTGTGTTTGTCGTGGTTGACTTCCATAATCATAATCCCTGAAAAACCAAAATATAACGCTTACTTACAATTTATAATCAGTAGGTTTGAAAATTATTTGTACAATAATGGCATTTTAAGTTCATTTGAGATTTTCATCATAAAATATGCACACATTGTGTTTTCTATTTTTCTTTTTAATCTAATTTATTTGTGTTTTGAAATAATACTGATAAAGTCAGATTATGGTTAAGGTGTTATCGATTTCTTTTTAAATTTTTCAAGCCGGGATGGAGTTTAATGCGATTCAATGGCGATAATATTAACAATTTAAACACTCTGTAACAAAGGTTGAAGGTTAGTGTATTAAATTTTCGGGCGTGTCCGGATATTTTGGTGTGTCACAAGTAAATTGTATGTGATGTGACCCCCGTTTACGGACCTATAGAGATGTTGAATTGATATGCGTCATATAATTCATTTGCCACGAGAATATCAATACCAAACAAACTAAAATTAATCGACGGGTGAACTCCTTAGAATTAATTCACGATTAACAATTGAAATAATTAGCTTCGAATGTTATCCCGGGTGGACTACTTAGGCAGAATGAATATTTACTTCTTTTTTATTTCTATGGGCGACCGTGAAAACAGCTTTATTTATAACCATGTGCGTAATTTCGCCAACGGATGGATATAAACCTGTACAATTTCCAACAATCCCGTCGCGTCTCAAAGGGGAATTTTATTGTTTAAGGCGGGGAAGGGATGTATTTGTCGGGCCAACTTCTAAACCTATACTCTCCCCGTATTCTAGTCATACTAAAATTTGCATGCAAATATGGTCGTTTTACGATTCTCCATGCCTGGGCCTTGGAGCGATCACCCTTCAATATCTTTTATAGACACTAAGCATGGGCATTCCCACTGTTGAGCTCACGAGGGATAAATACGGCTGATCCTGTGGATTAAAGCATTTGGTAGATGGGCCACTAATCCACAGTTTGCAGTAAGTTATAATGCGCTAATCTCTCTCATCAACAGGGGAAATATTTGTTTACAAAACGTACGAAGCGATAGCCTTCGATCGAGGCGGGAGGAGCGGAGAGACGAGTTAGGCAGATAGCGAGGCTTGCCGGCGAAAATAGGTCGACAGTTCGGCATAATCTGTTAGGCTACCTCAGTCGACTTGTAACACTGCATTCTGGCGATCGCTGTCGCGATATGAAGGGAAATATTGATTTTTCGATGGATGTACAGCTTAAAGATGGTTACGTTTTATTAACAATCTATATTTATGATCTTAGAAGCCTCGCATGGGGCTCAGGCTTAAGGTAGGATAGTATAGCGTTGTGAACTGCGCATAGATTGGTTCTTATCGGCCGTTATAACAAGATGCTGCAAATATTTCAATTACATTCTACAAAATGAGTGGTCCTGAATTGTGATTCGATAAATTTTGAGTAGATTTAATTTATGATATGAACTTTCACTTTTATAATTACAGTTTATGTTGATAGTTTGTCTCCAGTCACATGTTTAATAGACAATTAGTTTGTCTTATTTGATTTTGAAATGCGATTTAGGGCTTTACCGTATTATATTTAGATAATCTATTTTACATTAATGACCACCACGGATCAACGGATTACCTATCCAGATTTAATATCTTTAAAATAATATGGTTTTGCTATGTTTTGCCAAACAAATACTTATTTATTTGTCAAAATCCTTTGGATTGCTCAACCTTATCTACCTTAAAGTATTCAAATATTTATCTTGTTTTGTTGCAATTCAGATTTTGTTTTGCGTATTGTTAATCTGGATATTGCTGTATGATTGAAATAATTCATATTTAGAATTATCTTACAGATACGATATCGTTTATGTGGATTTGGTGTGATTGTAGTTTGCTGAATTATCGAATGTTTTGATACCTTGCTTTTATGAATATCATTTTAAGTTTCTATTTGTCCATAAAATCGTTCTGAATTTCCTTGGAATTTGCGTTTGTTTAGATTTACTTTCGTAAGTCATAATTAGATAATAATTCCACCGATTTTACAATAAAAGATATATAATTGATTTCTGCATTTTGATAGAGCATATTTTACTGCATATATTGATAATATATGGGTCATATAACTTAGATAAGACACATATTTTATATAAGCCATGAAACGTGGGAAATACACGTTGCATTATCGTGATAATAAATATATTATAAATGAATCAAATCACTGAACGGCCGAACGATGTGGTCACAGCAGAATCGTCGTCGAAATGGAGCGTGTATTAAAATTAAACAACTTACCCAAGCGTATTTTATTATTATAATTTTTACGCTTCATATAAATATATGAGTATGATAAATATAACCACCAATTTAATTTAATTTCAATTGTTGTAAATAAATCTGTTCACACTTGAGCGATGAAGCATTTTATAGTTCTTCGTTTATGTTTATGTGCGTTTTTTTGCGATTTATATATAGAGATATATATATATGAACTGATTTCACGTGAGCATCAAGAGGGAAGCGCCATGTATTTGATATTGACTGCTGCGTTTACAACCACTCAAATACAAGCATTAAAATATAATAATTTCAGGTCCCCCATTGTGATTCTATGGATCAAAATGTAATGGTATGTTTAAAAATTTTACTACTGCTTTATTAAAACTAGTTAGGAATTGTCGTTTCGTAAGCTCATATTGTTGACTTAAAACTTTAAAAATATCGTCTGTGTTTGTAAGCACGTGTGCATTTGTGTAGGTCGTTATTTGAATCTGACTAAAACTAAAGTAAAATATTTTAGTTACGCTACCACCGTACTGGAATGATATGAAATATAGTCGACATTTTCAAGGATCATTGTGAACAGGACCAGTTTGTGTATTTTCAAACGAAAGGAAACCCATTTTTTGCAGTTTTATAGCTGAGGCGTAATCTGTGTTCAGAATTTGTTAAGTTGTGTATGTCATTTTTCATTGATTAATAAATACCGAATTATTCGTACATACATTTTAAATATTTTAATATTTTCAGCCTATTATAGTTATGTCCATGTACCGTACTTGTTATCTAAATGATATAATTATGACTATGTATGTTTCTGAAATAATTTAATTATTTGCCAAATTGGTCTTATAAACTTCTTGTAATAAGCAAACACATTCTCTTTTAACCACGTACTGAAAATCCTTCTATAATTCACTGCTGGGAAATCGGTACCATCTGAATAAAAAAACATGCATGAGAAAAAAGCTCCTAAAAACTGATGCAAAATATTTCTTTATTTTGTTACAACTTCAAAGGGATAGTTGCACAAAAACCCTTGTTGTTCCTCGCACTCAAGCGAGGAACTGAGAGCCCTCACTCTCTAAAGCCATAAACCTCATGCCCCACACGACGTAGAGGTTTTGAAGACGGGGGTAGCCGAGATCTTTCTCAGACCAGGAGGCTCTTCTACCGACTGACTGCTTTACATAATGCTCATTGGTGGAAAGAGTCGCATTCCCTTAAATAGGAGGCTTCAGAAACCTACACTGTCTTTTCGGCCCATTCGTTACCAAGGTAAACCATTACGGGAACTCGAAGAAAGTCAATCAGGCTTTAACGTGTCCTCTGTAATAGACTTCGTAAATATGAACTTGGTAGGAGACTCGGGCAAGCATCTGTTTGATTGATGTGTTTTCCAGATATCAGGCTGTTAAAAGTATAAATACATATATGTAAATGCGACCACGAGGTATGCTATAGCTGGCCTTATCGAGGGGCAGAATTCATTGATTTGAGGCAAAGCATTGCGATGATCTAACGGCGATTCTTTCACTTGATGAGGCGTGCGTGGTTAAGAAGAACAAGATCATGTCTTTTTAACGCTAGGAATAAGGTGTAGAATATTTCTTCCCCTT